ATCTTTCATCTCCTTGGTTAAATTTATTTCTAAGTATGTTATTGTTTTTGATGCTCTTGTAAATTGGATTTTTTAATTTATATCTTTTACAGGTATTTTTTGCTATTTGTTGTTAGTGTACAGAAATGCAACTGATTTTTGTATATTGATTTTGTATCCTGAAACTTGACTGAATTCATATATTAGTTCTAACCATTTTTGGTTGAGACTTTAGAGTTTTCTATATATAGGATCATGTCATCTGCAAACAAATAATTTAACATCTTCCTTTCCAGTTTTGATGACTTTATTCCTTTTTCTTTCCTAATTTCTCTAGCTAGGACTTCCAATACTATGCTGAAGAGAAGTGGCCAGAGTGGGTGGGCACACTTTTCTTGTTTCTGAGGGAGAGCTGTCAACTTTTCACCATTGAGTGTGATTTTAGCTGTGTGCTTGTCACATGTAGCCTTTACTATGTTGAAGTATATTCCCTCTATACCCAATTTGTTGAGAGTTTTTATTATGAAATGATGTTACATTTTGTCAAATTTTTTTTTGTACCTTCTGGGATGATTATATGATTTTTATCTTTCACTCTATTAATGTATTGTATCACATTTATTGATCTGTGTATGTTGAACTATCCTTGCATCCCTAGGATAAATCCCTCTTGGTCATGGTGTATGATATTTTCAATACTGTTGAATTTGATTTGTTAATATATTGTTGAGAATGTTTGCATCTGCATACATCAGGGATATTGACTTGTAGTTTTCTTTTCTTGTAGTGTCCTTATACAGCTTTGGTAGCAGGGTAAACACTGGCATCATAAAATGAGTGTGGCAGTGTTCCCTCCTGTTCAGTTGTTTGGAAAAGTTTGAGAAGGTTTGGCAGTAATTCTTAAATGTTGATAGAATCCTCTAGTGAAACTATATGGTCCCAGGCTTTTCATTGTTGGGAGGTTTTAATAAGTGATTCAATGTCCTTACTCACTATTGATCAGTTAGATTTCCTATTTCTTCATGATTTGCTCTTTGTACTTTATATTTTTCTAGGAATTTATCCATTTCTTCTAGGGTATCCGATTTGTTGGTGTACAGTTGTTTGTCAGTTTTGTTTGTCTTTTCAAAAATTCAGCTCGTAGTTTTGTTAATCTTTTGTATTGTTTTTCTTGGCTCTATTTCATTTATTTCTCTATGATTTTTGTTATTTTCTTCTTTCTGCCAACTTTGGGCTTAATTTGTTCTTTTCTTGGTTCCTTGAGGTGTAAAGTTAGGTTAGTTGTTGATATAGTAGCCCCCCCTTACCCACAGGGGATACATCCCAAGACCTCCAGTGGGTACCTGAAACTGTAAATACTACTCAACCCTGTATATGCTATGTTTTTTCCTATACATACATGCCTGTGATAAAGTTTAACTTATATATTAGGCACAGTAACAGATGAACAACAATAACCAATAATAGAATAGAACAATGATAGCAATATACTGAAATAAAAGCTACAGTAATTAAAAGAGTGTTGCTCACATAAAGTCAAACATATAGGCCAATGGAATAAAATACAGTCCAGAAATAAACCTTCACATATATAGTCAAATGATATTCAACAAGGGGACCAAAGTCGTTCAGTGGGGAAAGGATAGTCTTTTCAACAAATGGTGTTAGAGAAATTGGGTGACCACATGCAAAAGAATTAAGTTGAACCCTTATCTAAGTTGGACACCATATATAAAAATTAACTCAAAATGGAGCCAAGACCTGAATGTAAGACCAAAAGCTACAAAACTCCTAGAAGGAAGCACAGGGCAAAAGCTACACAGCGGTGGAGTTGGCAGTGACTTCTTGGGCATGACACCAAAGGCACAGGCAACAAAAGAAAAAATAGATTGCATTCATGAAAATTAAAAAATTTTGTACATTAAAAGACACTGTCAACAGAAAAAGGCAACTTACAGAATGAGAGAAAATATTTTCAAATCAGATATTTAATAATGGATTCATGTCCAGAATTATAAAGAACTCCTAAAACATAATACCAAAACAACCTGATACAAAAATGGATAAACTAGATAAACATGCATTTCTCCAAAGAAGATATAAAAATGGCCAGTATGCACAGAAAAGATGATCGACATCACTAATCATTAGGGAAATATTCTCACCTGCTTCCCAAAAGTATGCAAATAAAATCATTTGCAAATCCAAACTACAGTGAGATACAACCTCACACCCATTAGGAGGGCTAATGGCTACTATGAAAAAAAACTTTTTAAAAAACCAAAACAGAAAATAACAGGTATTGGCCAGGATGTGGAGAAATTGGGAAGTTATGTATTGCTGGTGGGAATGCAAAACAGTACAGCTGCTACGGAAAACAGCATGGCAGTTTCTCAAAAAATTAAAGATAGAATTACCATGTGACGTAGCAATTCCACTTCTGAATATATATTGAAAAGAATTAAAAGCAGGGTCTTGAAGAGACAGTCGTACACCATGTTCACAGCAACATTATTCACAACAGCTAAAACAAGGAAGCAACCTAAGGGGCCACCAACAGGTGAATGGATAAACATAATGTGGTATGCACATACAATGGAATATTATTCAGCCTTAAAAAGGAAGGACATTCTGATACATGCTACAACATGGATCAACCTTGTGGACATTATGCTAAATTAAATAAGCCAGTCATAAAGTAAACAAATACTATATGACTCCACTTATATGAGATGCTTTGAGAAGTCAACATTATAGATATAGAAAGAATGATGATTGCTAGGGGCTGGGGGGATGGGAGAGCAGGGAGTTATTGTTACTGGGGACAGAGTTTCGGTTTTACAAGATAAAGAATTAAGGAGATGGATGGTAGTAATAGTTGTACAATATTATGAAGGTATTTAATACCATTGAACTGTATACTTAAAATGGTTAAGATGGTAAATTTTATGTTATGTGTATTTTATTACAATAAATAAATTTAAATGTCTTTTAATAACATCACATTAGTTCTCCTTAAAACTTCTTCACATATTTGTTAAATTACTTCTGGATAGAGGTGGAGAAAGACAAGTACCAAATGATTTTCCTCATTTGTGGAGTATAACAACAAAGCAAAACTGAAGGAACAAAACAGCAGCAGACTCACAGACTCCAAGAAGGAACTAGTGGTTACCAAAGGGGAGGGGTGTGGGAGGGCGGGTGGGGAGGGTGGGAGAAGGAGACTGAGGAGTATTATGTTTAGTACACATGGTGTGGGGGTTCATGGGGAGAACAGTGTATCACAGAGAAGGCAAATAGTGGATCTGTGGCATCTTACTACGCTGATGGGCAGTGACTGCATTGGGGTATGGGTGGGGACTTGATATGGGTAAATGTAGTAACCACATTGTTTTTTCATTTGAAACCTTCATAAGAGTGTATATCAATAATACCTTAATAAAAAATTTTAAAAAATTAACTTCTGGATAGCTTATATTCTTATTATCTGAAATGGTAACTTTTTCATTAAATTTTAAAGCTACACTTTGCTTGTGTGATATTTGTGTGCTGACCTTGCCTATATATAGTAAAATAAAAATCTGACTAGTTCTTTTCAGTTATATATATAAACAATTAATTCATCTAGAACAATTTAGAATTTTGTTTCTTCCTTTTCTAGTCTCATAACTTTTGTTTCTTTTTCTTGTTGTATTGCATAGGCTAATTAAAGTGTCTAATCAAATGGTGTTATAAGCATCCTAGTTCTCATCCTGGTTTTAAAGGGGAGACTTTTCATGATATGCCATTGGTTTTCATGTTTAAAAGAATGCTTGCTTATAGATACCCTTCTCTTCCTAGTTTATCATGAAAAGTAATGTATTTTATATAATGCTTTTTGCCTAGCTGTTTACACCATAATGATGTAATTAGTAATTTTTTATACTAAAACAATCTTACTCCACTTCCCATAGAAATGAAGATGATAGACAATAATGAGGCCTGATGCTGCCTGAGAAAACCTAGCAAGACTCACATGCCAGACCCCTTTGCTGCTTCCGAATGCTTTCTTAGTGCCCTCACCTTCTCCTTACACGACTGAGCCCCCCTCTTTCTCTCAATCCTTCTGAATTGCCTGTCACCACAGGACTTCCAGGGAGAGCTCCTCCCTCCAAGCTGGCTCTGGACACCCGGGAAGAAATACTCTCACCTGCTTCCCACAGCTATTTTCAAGGGTTTTAGCTACTGGGTTATAAATCAAAATATTCATTAAATTATGTCAGGTTAGGGTTAGATCTGTCATATTACTGATAAGGAATATTAGTGATATTAATTAGCAAACCACCAGCTTCCTCTCAGCCCCCTATGGGCTTATTTTGTCCTACTCTTCACCTAGTGTCTGAAGTTTTGTCCAGGGTACTGATAATAACATAGAGTGCTAACTCCATCCCAAGATTCTATCCTCTGAACTTCACATCTTCTCATTTAATTCTCATAACAACTCATATGAGCCCAATTTACATATACTAAAATTAGGGCTCAGATAGGTTAAGTAATTTGTCCATGGCTACACAGCTTGTAAGTGGTACTTGTAGTTAGAGCCCAGGACTGTCTGATCCTACAGCCTGCACTTTGAAGCACTTGGCTATAACCCCTCCTCTGGGTAAGGGGAGGGGAAGGAGTGGAGGTCTCCTCTCTACCTGCCAGGATATGTCAAGCATACCCACTTAACACCAGGTATGAGGGCGATCACCTGTTGATGGGACCCACTACTGTAGTAGAGAACCATTCCTGGAGTAAATGCCTAGACTATCAAAGCTCTTGAACCCAAGGCCGGGTAGGCCAGCTGCCGCCTCCCGTTCCCTTCTGTGGACCCATCTCCGCCCTGGCCCTCCTCACCCTGCACAGTCCCCCACCTCCTCTTTCCTACTTAGTGGGAGCTCTCATGCCCTGTGACTCAGCCCTCCCAAGAAATGACACACCTTTTGCTGAATAATTAAAACCAGGAAATACTTAGCTCTACAAAAGGAAGTAAAGAAATGAGCAACTCAAAGGCGGTCTAGACAAGCAGAAGGGGCAAGCCTGCACTCAGGCGGCTGCGAGAGTCCAGCTGGCATCTGAGTGTGTCTGCTTGCAGATCAGAGGGGCAGGGAGCCGGGGGAGGCGGGACCATGTGGCTGCCCCCAGCTCTTCTCCTTCTCAGCCTCCCAGGTGAGTGCAGTTGGGGCTTTGGGAATGTGGGTACTACAAGGCCAGGGCAGGGGACAGAGAGCTGCTGTCCCAGGTAGAAAGGGAGGCGTCACTTTCAAGGAAGTGAGAGGTGGTGGCTTTATTAATTCAGCAAAAGCTTTCCGGGGTCCTACTTTGTGCCAGGCATGTATCAGGTCTGGGGGACAACAAGGAGAAGAGAAAAAGGACTAGCCATTAAAAAGAAGACCCCAGACAGCTCAGTGGGTGAAATGTACAGAAAAACAGCAACCAATGGCAGGCCATGGGAAGGCATGGATGGAGGGTGCCCCGAGGACGCAGCAGGTCGGCTGAGGGGCTGCAAAGGGCTGCTCCTTTCAGTGTGCCTTGACAAAAAGGGAACAGCCCTTCAAGCAGAGACAAGAGCAGAGCATTCCAGGGAAAAAGGGAAAAAGGACTGCTTGGCCTGGATGGAGGGATGAGGATTGAGAAAGGATGGTGCATTCGTGCAGAGGGCATCTCAGCGTACAGCGGGCCTTGGGGTGACTGGTCAGACGTCAAGCTGAAAATGTACAAGACAAGATAATGAAGGGCCTTAGACACCATGCCCAGGAACCAAGACTTCCCAAGAGAAAATTGCTCAGGAGCCCAAGTGGGAGATGGAGGGGGTTCGACTATCTCTTTTTCTCTGTGGAAAATCATTGCATGCACACAGAGGACACTACAGGACAGTCTGGAAGTTGGTGCAATGTATGCAGCATGTGTGGGTCACACAGTCTCTCTCTGGGCCCAGGGACTCACCATCTGGTGCAGACAGACTGGTCCACAGAGGGGGCTGCAGGAAAGAGCATAGCCCAGGGGTTGGGAGCCCTGAGTTCAAGTCCTGACGGGGGTGCACTGTTGTTGAAACCATGACCTGGGACCTGTAGATGGGCTGGGGGCAGTAGCTTCCCTGTGACTGCTCTCTCTGATCATTAAGTGGGACTCCAGGTGGCCCAGGATTCCCAGAGGACAATGACTCAGAATGTCTGCATCTCCTCCCTGGCTCTAGCTTGCATTTGAGTGCAGAGATCCCACCTTCTCCCTCTGAATCCCAGCTCACCTGGAGGCTGAGAAGGGCCAGCATAAACTGTGCCTGGGCTCACACACTCACAACACACACCCACATGCTCACATCTGTATTCTCATACACCCATACACATATGTGTGTATGCTTACACAGGGACACAAAATGCCATATACACTAGCACACACTTTCACAGTCACATGCTCACACATGGTCTCTCTCATTTGCACATCAATTCACACTCATACTCACAATACAGTCAGACACACACATACTCAAATTTAAATGCACACTCATACGCTCACACATGCCCATGCACAGTCTCATCTGCACACACCCAGACAAACACCTCTGCCCGAGATGAAGGTTGAGACCTGCAGTGGCTGCTCTGCGGCTTGAGGTGGCGGATGCTACAGAGACAGGACAGGGAGTGCCTCCTCCTCCAACTCCGAGTTAATGAGGGAAGGGCTGAAGCTGGCCAAGGGATGGAAGCAAAGCCACTGCATCACGTTTTCACCAGTAGACTGCCATTGGCCGCTCTGGGGTTACTTTGGTGAAATAAAGGAGGAGAGAGAGTGGACAGGGCAAAGTCAGAGTGATCTAGCTTCTTTCTGGTAGGACGCCTCGCTGGTGTGCTGGGTTCCGTGATCCCCCACTGGCCCCAAGAGGAAGGTAGGGCACTGGCATAGAGTAGGAGCTCAGGAAGTGTTTGCAAGTAGAAGAAAAGACCCCTGTTCTCCGACAAAGAATCTGAGGCAAGAACGGCCAGGGGCACAGACCTGAGCCCCAGAAATTACTGTCCAGAGCTTGAGCTGGCATGGCTGCCTGGGGACATCAGCAGGACCCCCTGCCCCAGAGGTGCAGAATAAGATGGACTCAAAGCCCACTGCACACCCCACGCCCCTTGGGCATCTCTGCTCTGGGCTCTCCCTTTGGCTCATTTTGTGTGTCATTTGTCACTTGCTGTCAGCCCCAACGTGGATGGAGCTCAACAATTTTTCTGGATTTTGAGACAAGGTATTCATGTAAGGATTTTGCACATGTTGCAAACCTGCCCAGAGGATTAACGTGCAGGAGAAAGTTTACCTATCAGGTTCATGAAAACAAACATTGAAATTCAAACAGCCTTTTGCTTTTAAACCCTGACAACCCTGTTGTCCAGAGTTCTGCTCCCAGCTGTCTGCTCCCCTCTCATCTCCACCTCTCCCTTTCTTCAAACCAACTCTTGAAAATATACATATTCCTAATTAATAGTTTCATTCATCATGATCTGTGTTTATAAAAACCTCCCACCTATTTTTTTAAATGAGCCCAGTCACCTTACAAGTGTATTGCCATTAGTCTGAAGTACCAAAACTAAGACTGACAGAACTTCTATTTTGAACCAGCGACATCTCTCTCTGCTGTTTGTCGTCACTGGCAGATACAGTTTATACTGAACCTCTGCTTCCTTCTGTGTTTTTTTTTTTATAAGAATGAAAATGACCCAAACTGCTGATCTGATGTTAATTTACATCAGTTACTATATTATAATTTATGTCAATTGCTGTATAATTTTAGTAATGCTTTTACTAATTGACTTCTTTTAATCAAAAAAAATTTCTTAGTTGTTTATCAGCTAGTGGTGTTGTGAACACTCTTACATTTAGAAATGTATGATTTAGAAGGTAAAATCTCTTCCCCACAAACTCCGATCTCAGAGTTGTTAGGGCAGACCATAATTTACTAGCCCAACCTCCCATTAATGGCATTTGAGTTTGTTTCCAATGTTTACTATCCCATTAAGCTGCAATTAGCACCCTTATACTTCATTGTCCACTGGTGTGGAAATTACAGTTAATCCTAGAACTGAAACAATTATGTACAAGATCATACTGACCAGCTTCTTTTCAAAAACAGCCATAAACTGTATTGGTACCTATCAGGATCCGCTCCTCAAGACAGAGCTTCCTAGCAAGGGAGACAGAGGGAGAGAGACTGCTGACACAATAAAATACCAGGGAGGCATTCAGGTTCCTATAAAGGGCCATGGGAGCAATGGGAGGGGGCAGTTCTGGTTGGGAAGGGGAATAAGACTTTATAAGAAAGGCCAACCCTTGAAAAAGATGTCAAGGTGACCAGCAGGCAGGCTGGGTTGGAGAAGGGGTTTCCACCTAGGAGACAGGACATGAACAATGATACAGCACCTGGGAGGGCCCGTGGGGTCAGGGTAAGAGGAATGCGGGGTCGGTGATGGCGCGGAGGGGCAGGAAGTGGCGCTGGACAGAGAACTGGGATCCAGATTGTAAAAAGATGTGAGTGCCAAGCTAAAGTGTTTTAAGTCGTTCTCAGGTGGGTGGGGCAGGGGGCATGCCTTCAGGAGAGATTTGGAAAGATTTTTAAGTGCTCACAAGTGCTGCTGAAGACAAGGTGGCACCTAACTCCAGGAGTGATTTGCAGAGGAGACTGGAAAAGAGGTGCCGCAGGAGCTGGGGAGACCTCCCCACATGGGCAGCTGCTGCCATCCGGGTACTAGATGAGCTCCTAACCTCTTGAGCGGCTACTGCAATAGAGCAACCCTGGATGTCTGGGGCTGGACAGGTATCCAGGTCTTATGATAACCTACTAGGTGGCAAGCAGCAGAGCCATTTCACAAATAAAGAAGCAAGACCAGAGAGGTTAAGTAACTTTCCCAAGGTTTCCCAACTAGCTTGTGGTAGATGTGTCTTTCGCTGTCCAAAGTCTGTTCTCTTTCTGCTATGTCATGCTGTCCTCGTGGACTGTGGCAGCAGAGGAGGAAGAAGAATGCTATTTTGAGAAGCATTTTTGATGTAGAGTTGACTATTGTTTACCAATTAGTTGTGGAGGGAGAAGGAAAGGACAGTATCAATGAAGTTACCAGGTCATCTAGTCAGCTGTGTTGGTTTGAAGAGCATAAAGTTAGTTCTGTGGATCAAATACTACATTAATTGCTGACGGTGCTGTAACAAAATGCTACAAACTTAGTGGCTTGAAACTATGACTGAATCAAGCAAAACTGATGCACAGCAAAGCTGAACACTGACAGCAGGATGTACGGAGAGTGGGTGTTTACTGCAGGGTGCCGTGCAAGGAGAAGGGTGGCCAACGCCCAACGTCCCAAGCTCCCTGTCAGCTTACAAGGAAGGGTTTCTGAAGGCAAAATTATGGGGAAGCGTTGCAGGATGTGTGGTCAGCTGGTGCCCATTCTTCAGGGGATTATTTCAGGAATCTTAGCTGTCAATCTTCTGGCTCCACCCAGTCTGGAGTCTCCATGCTTGTTGTCAGGAGGTGACATCTGGTGGGGTCTAAGTTCTTGTAAAACTTCTCAAGGAAACCTGAGTCAAGAGTTTATCTAGTTATAGATAAACTTAGTTCCCTTGAGGGGGAACTCAAAGTCCTGTGTCTCCATAGTTTATTTTGCCTTGATTTGCAAACTCCCATTTTCTTTAATCTCCAATCACCCAGTCTAATTTCCACACTGGTCATGACTAAGGGACTCAGGCTTCATCACAAGAGGGCTACGTGTGCCCTTACAAACTGATGTGAATGTATTATCTTACAGTTCTGAAGTCAGTGCACAGAACAACAGAATACTCATTCAGTTTGCACTCATCCCTAACCTGTTCCACTTCCAGCAGAACTTTGCTAGTCTGTCCACAAGAACCCTCCACGAGAGAGAGGAAATTTGGAAGAAGAGTTAAGTTCAGGACGGAAGAGGTGGCGCATTTAGTTCTGTGACTGTTGAATTTGGGGTACAGACATCCAGTGCATATTTGTAAATGGTAGGCTGGAGCTAAGGGGAGAATTTGGGCTACAGTTGTGGATCTGGGAATTGTCAACATACAGGCACAAATTGAAATCAAGAAATGAAGAATCCCTCTGTGGGGGCTCCAGAAAGTGAGACAAGGCGAAGGCCACTGAGAGAGCCCTGGGCTGCCCACGGTGTTCTGGAACTGCCTCACACTGAATTGCAGGAACTGACCTGGGAAGAGATTTCCAGTGACGTTGCCCTGCCAGCCTGAAATCAGCCATGGTAGGAACACTTGTGCTGCAAAGTTGGAAAATGCTACAAACTGGAGATTTCCCCCTCTGGACAGGGCTGGTTGTTAATCTACTAACACACTGTGGGTTACAGCAAGATTTAAAGGACAAGGAAAAGAGAAATCAGCAGATGCCTCTGAGACCGAGTAGTCAGAGGAGAAGGAGATAAGATGAGAAAAACATTGAGGGCGAGGAAAGAGCAGGTCAGCAGTCAGGAGGGTCACACACTGCCAGCTGGTCTGGGATGAGGAGCGGAGCAGAGGCCCTGAGGGAGTCCATGGGGAAGCTGGGCAGAGGAGGAGGTGGACGTGAGGGGTCAGCTAGTGGGGCGCCTGGGAAGGCTGGGGACCCTGGCCCAGTCCCTGAACATTAGCCTGGGGCCACCTGAGCCCTGAAGTGGCTCCAGGCCCAGGGTGACAGGAACTGTATCTCGCTTAGAATTCTGTTTTCCAGGCTGTTTCTCCATCAAAGGCCCAAGGTCCGTGAGAGGTGTAGAGCAGGGGTCGGTGGCCGTGCAGTGTAACTATGACTCCAGATGGAAGACCTACCGGAAGTGGTGGTGCCGAGGAGCAAGCTGGGATTACTGCAAGGTCCTCATTCAAACCGCAGGAACTGAGGAGGAAGTGCAGAGAAACCGTGTGTCCATCAGGGACAATCAGACAACGTACCTGCTCACAGTGACCATGAAGGACGTCAGGCAGGATGACACAGACACTTACTGGTGTGGGATTCAAAAGACTGGGATTGACCTAGGGGCGAGGATCAGAGTCACCATTGACCCTGGTAAGAACATCCCCCTACTCCTCAAGGCCCTGGTGCCCAGGATGGGGAAGACCAAGGGCTTGAGCCTGTCCCCACCCACCAGGGGCCGAAGGGAGACAACTGAGCCCCTGGGAACAGTGTGAGAGAGAGCAACAGACAGACAGACGGACAGGGGACGGAAGTGAGAGAAACGATGGAAGGGTGGCAGCCCAGCCCTGGTCCCTATCACAGACTGTCAGGAGGGTCACACACTGCCAGCTGGTCTGGGATGAGGAGCGGAGCAGAGGCCCTGAGGGAGTCCATGGGGAAGCTGGGCAGAGGAGGAGGTGGACGTGAGGGGTCAGCTAGTGGGGCGCCTGGGAAGGCTGGGGACCCTGGCCCAGTCCCTGAACATTAGCCTGGGGCCACCTGAGCCCTGAAGTGGCTCCAGGCCCAGGGTGACAGGAACTGTATCTCGCTTAGAATTCTGTTTTCCAGGCTGTTTCTCCATCAAAGGCCCAAGGTCCGTGAGAGGTGTAGAGCAGGGGTCGGTGGCCGTGCAGTGTAACTATGACTCCAGATGGAAGACCTACCGGAAGTGGTGGTGCCGAGGAGCAAGCTGGGATTACTGCAAGGTCCTCATTCAAACCGCAGGAACTGAGGAGGAAGTGCAGAGAAACCGTGTGTCCATCAGGGACAATCAGACAACGTACCTGCTCACAGTGACCATGAAGGACGTCAGGCAGGATGACACAGACACTTACTGGTGTGGGATTCAAAAGACTGGGATTGACCTAGGGGCGAGGATCAGAGTCACCATTGACCCTGGTAAGAACATCCCCCTACTCCTCAAGGCCCTGGTGCCCAGGATGGGGAAGACCAAGGGCTTGAGCCTGTCCCCACCCACCAGGGGCCGAAGGGAGACAACTGAGCCCCTGGGAACAGTGTGAGAGAGAGCAACAGACAGACAGACGGACAGGGGACGGAAGTGAGAGAAACGATGGAAGGGTGGCAGCCCAGCCCTGGTCCCTATCACAGACAGAGTCTCTCCGAAACTTCCTGCTGACGCACGGGGCTGGCAGGGCTTGTGGTGGGGTGCAGGAATGTGGACCCCAGCGCTGGTGACCCATAGCCCAGGCCTGTTCTCCAGGGACTGGATAGCCCTGGCAGCCCCACTTCTCTCATCAAGGCCCTGGGTGGGCCTCAGATGCCTACAGAGAATCCCAGGGCATCACTCCAAGAAGTGGCCAGTCTCTGGGAGTCACACTCTGGACCTGTCATTACTCAGAGGGTGGCCAGAGGGCCCCTGAGGCAACCCAGAGGGTCCCATCCCTGAACCCCATGAACCTGGCCAAGTCAGAGTGGCTCTGGGCATTTTCCAGGGCTTCTCCTCCTCCTCCCAGCCGCCCCCTGTGCTACGTGCCCTGGCTGCCTAGAGTGAGCATGGAGTAAGGGGCTGAGGAGTTCAGGTAACAGTGGACACTTGGAGAGAAAGGAAGGCTTTGGCCATTAAGTCAAATTCAGGGACGCCTCCAACTGCCCTGGAGTCTCCTCTGGGCCTTGACGCCAACAAAGAATTCAGGGTCTTCCTGGTGGCACAGATCTGTTACTATGAAAAACAGCCTCTACAACACCCCCCTCCCCACCTCTGCCTACCACTTCCCCCCAGCAGGTGTGTAGGCCCAGGCATCCCTCAGCCCAGGGTCCACTCAGGCCCAGTAGACGGTGGCTTGCAAATAGCACCGACTTTAAAACAAGCCCTTCTACTGTTAAGGTTGGAACCAGAGAGGAACATGGGGCTGCCCCTGGGTGACGTCCAGAGGGGGCCAGCCAAGCAAAACTTCCCAGGGTTGCCAGCAGGGGAAGCCAGACCTGTGGACAGAAGAGGGATTGATTAAGACACATGAGTAAGAACCAACATAGGCTAAAAATGGCTCAGCTAAAAGCTCCATGGAGAGCTTTAGGGAGAATGGCGTTTAGGGGCCTGGGGTGGGAGGCCCAGGGAGGCACCAGCCTGTAAGGCTATCGGGAGCCTCCAGATGACCTGTTAGGGCTGCAGTTTCCTGCAGCTCGGCCAGGAGGTACCTTCACGACCACAGGTGGGCATCTTGCAGAGCACGTGCCAGGCCTAGAATGAAATAAAGGTAGGTCACGGGTAATCGGCAGCCGGCTGGCCTCAGGAATCCATGACCAAGAGGTTCACCTTAAATTGCCTTCATGGTTTCTCATAAAGATGTCTCACTCATCACCGCCATTGTTCACCATTTAACCTGAATGTGCCCTTACTCACCCACCTTCCAGAGTTCTCCCCCTTACCACCCCCAATAGCTAGAGGCCCCATTCGCTCTTGTGCCCCGCTTGGCACTGCCTGAGCAGAAAGAACCTGTGACTTTCCCTTCCCACAACCAAAATTCCCACTTAGAGGAGTAGATAGAGTATGAAAAGATGGATCTCCCTCCCCAGAATAAACTACAGCGCCTACACCTGTTCAATTACTTCTTGCCACACCTGAAAATGATGGAAAAAAAGACTGTTGTGACTCAGGTGGCCCAACAGAAGGAGGAGGAGCCCAAGGGGTTGAAACTCCCTAATTCAGGGGCAGGGGTCTCCCCACAAGGGCTGGCATGGAGGGGTGGCACTGTGAGCCACACACAAGTCCCTGGTCTGTGCCCCTGACCTGTGGCTGACTTTGCCTGTGTCTAGAAGGAATGGCTCTGACCGCACCAGAAGCCGCCAGCAATGGTACAGAGGAGTTCTCGGGCTCCTACGCCAGGTGAGTGAGGGGCTGCATGCTTCTCCTGCCCCCCGCCCTGTGAGAACCACTCTGCCCCTGTGTGGTCACCTGCCGCCAGAGCCCGTCATAGCCAGAGCAGGCCCAGAGGCCACCCTGGGGTCACCCCTGCTCACACGCCCTCCCCCATCTCCCCATTCCAGCCCTCCCCGGAACAGTACTCTGCAGAACCTTTGTCTATAAGCCTCAGCCGCCCATTCAGCTGTCACCAAAAGCACTAATGACCTAGTGGCTGTCAAGGGGAGACAGGACACACATCTCCTCCATGCAAGGCATCAGGTGCCACAGAGCAGGCAGGTGACTGAGCAGCCCAGAGCCGGCATTATCAGAGCAGCGAAAACACAGGCGGGCGAACAGCCTGATGGGTGACCCGCAGGGGCCTCTCCTGGGCTGATGCCCTTTGGGCAAAGGGGAGTTCCAGAGATGAAACGAGAAAGGAGGATGGGGCCCAGCACAAAGCAGATCCGAAGAGCTGAGGTGGCTTCTGGGGGTCTTGGTGGTCGAGCCACTGAGGAGGACTGAGCCCGGGAGCCCACTCCCAACTCGGGAGTCTTGGGAGTGGGCCCCTGGGCTCGGGGTCAAGGGCTTTGCTGAGCGGGTCAGCTCAGGGTTCCGACCACTCTGCCCACCCGCAGGACCCACTACGTGCTCCTGGTATTCGTGAAGGTGCCCTTCTTGCTCATCCTGGTTGGTGCCATCCTCTGGTTGAAGAAGCCTCAGTGGCCCCCAAGCAACTTCTCCCCTGACCTTCTGTCCAAAGACACAGCCCCATAGATGGGTGAGCAGAACCTTCTGACTCCGGACCCCCTTTCTGGAGGAGATACAGGCTGTGGAAGAAATGCCTCTGAGGCCTTGGGATAGAGTGGTTGAGGCTGGGGGCCTGGGGTGGCCAGGGGGCCTGGTGTCCCCTCCTGAGGCACCATCACAGCGTGGAGAACCAGCACCGGGCCCCCATGTCAGGTAGCACCTCACACCCCACCCCACCTATCTGGGACTCGTGGCTGGCGGACTGTTGGGGTGGAGCCCAAGTTTGGACGGATGCATCCGCCACTGCCCAAGGGACTCAGGCACGGCTGAGGAGGCACAGGGAGCAGCCTGGGGGCTGCAGGAGAAGCTGGTCAAGCTGGCTCTTGCCCATGGAACCCTGACTGATGCCCCATGCCCCCCACCCCCTCAAGGGCGGTGAATCTGTGGCAAGTTCCTGGTTCTGGGACATGAGAGGCTGCGCGTCCCCTCTGCCCCGGGGGGGGGGGTGACACCATGAGTGCACAGGCTGAGGGGGGACCAGGAGCCCCTCAGGGGGAGACTTCATCCTCCTCCCCTGTCCTGGCACCCCCAGCTCAGGGACTGGGGCTTCCTGGGGCAGCGGCCTGGGAGTCTGGTCTCCTAAGGGGCTGCTTGGCCTCAGAAATCACCTCAAGGCCGGGGAGGCTGGTGTAAAAACTGAGAGAAACGATGTTGTCTCTCTTAAATAATGTTGTTTAAATAAAGTTAATTAAAACCGAGGCAAAAAATGTTGCCTTTCTTAACGATGCTGCTTATTAAATAATCTCCATTAAAAATGTCTGAGGGCAATGATGTCTCTTTCATGTACCTCACGCACAGCAACGATGCCCTTGGCCTGAAGGGACGGTCATTGCCAGGAGGAGAAACAGCCCACATGCAAACACACGCAGGCACAGCTTTGGAGTGTTTCTCTTTGGTTCCCCACGCCCCCCGCTTTATTGAGATATAATTGACAAATAAAAATAGCATACATTTAGGTGCAAATGTGTTTTTTAAAGTGCAGCACGTGATGATTTAGCAGACACATATGTCGTGAAAGGAACCCCACAATCAAGTTAATGAAGACATCCATCACTTTCCATTGGTATCTTTGTTTTTGTTTATTTGTTTGTTTGTTTGTTTGGTGTGGTGAGAACACTTAGGATCTACCTTCTTAGCAAACTTCAAGTGCACACACAGTATTATTAATTATGGTCACCACACTGTACATTAGATCCCCAAATTTATTCATCTTAGAGAGTTTCTGCCCTCTGGCCAGTCTTCCCCATTTTCCCCACTTGCTCCCTCTTGGTTCTATGTAGAGTGTTTCCGTAGAACAGCGGTGAGGATGTACCCACCCTGCCCTTTGTCCTATCACTGGGCCCTGGTTCTGAGCCTCGTCTTCCAGGGGATGAAAGAGAAGGGAATCTTCCTGTCCCGGCATGGTAGCTGGAGCCTCCCTCCCCACTGGGATGCTCTGCTCCCCCGTCTTTGCCCTTCAGCCAGTGAGAAACTTTCTTCCCCTTTATACTTGGGTTAGGGCTCTGGTCAGTGGCAGGCCTGAAAATTCCACAGTGCCCAGAAAGGACACAGTCTGAGCCAAACGAAGACCCTTTGGGTCACCCTGTTGGGCTCCAAGGCCCACAGTCCACCTGCTCCAGGGGCCCCTCCGTGGGTACTTTCCTGGATCCATCCTCCTGAACATTCGGCCAGTGGCCAGACTCAGGGGACTAGGGTGACTCGGCCACTCTGCGGGAGGCAAACCAGAGGCTGGACACTCCAGTGCAAACGGGTGGCGGGCCTTTGGTGGTTGCCGGCCTGGTCCAGTGCTTTTCCGTTTCCTACTGTTGACAGTCAGTAACCCCGTCTCTTTGGAGATACTGTGGTTGGGTGATCACTCTTGTAAGGTCACGGGAGAGAATCCACCAGAGTCGGCACCTGTTGTCCATCCTGAGCACCACCCTCACACACATTTCTGGGAAGTGCCCCCTTGAGTTCTGATGAAATCTGTCAAGCAAAGCTTGCCTAATATTCCCGCTGTCAGGTGGGGAGAAATGCAGAAGAGAAAAAATCAGCCGCCAAAGAGCGGCCTGGTGCAGAGCCCCCATGCCCGTATGCAGCTGCAGACCCGGAGTCCCTTGGGTGCTGATTCGGCACATGCTGTAGCCAAAAGTGAACAGAGGTAAGGCAGTGGGAGAGCAGGTGTGACCGCTCTCTGAAGAGGAGAGAACTCCTTCCCTGGGAGTTGCTTCTCAGGAGACTTTACTTCTGAGCAGTTGCTCATCCACAGAGGAAGTTCACCAAGAGCAGAGGCCTGGGGGGAGCAGGGGCAGCGTCCCCCTCAGGAAGGATGTGGGAAGGGCTCACCAGGACCCCTTGATGCGGTTTATGTCCTGAATGGGGTTTTATGAATAAAGGAGTATATTTCCAGCACGTTCCTCTGAAGCATCTCTCCCCGTGGCTCGCCTGCCTGCTTGGCCTTGTTTCTCCTGACTCAGGCTTCCCAGATTCCCACAACTGGGTCTGCTTATGGCCCGACTTGCAGACCCCTCCCCACTGTGAGTCTGGAGTCAAGTCTCCACCCAGAATGGGGGTCCCTATGCAGCTGTGGTGGCTCTCCTGGGCATCCCTCTGAACTCATGCTGTGAGGGTTGACGGGGAAGGGGCCTGGGGCCTGGCCTGCACACCACTCTCCACCCTGCTGCTGGGTGGGCACCGTCTGCTGCTCTGCATCATCTCCATCCCACCTGCTCATCTGCTGGTCACCTTTCCTCAGGCCTTTTCTAAGCTTAGGAACCACAGATCTGTGGCCAGGCTCCTGCCCACCTCCTACCAGCTGCCTGCCAGGCTCATGAGTCACCCTTGTGTCTGTGCAGCCCCATGACTGGGGCCAGCTCAGCAGAGCCCGGAGAGGAGGTGTCCTGGGTGTGGAGGTCAGCCTTAGTCTCAGCGGCTGAGACCCCTGTCCAGTGGGAAGCTCCAAGGATGAGCTGTTGGGGAGTTAGGGCCAAGGGCCAAGGCTGCGGTTCCCACCGAGAGCATAGGACGGGGGCCAGGCCACATCTTTATTGCGCCACTTAGCCATCCACTCATTCATTCATTCATAACCAGTGAAGCTAAAGTACCTAAGTTCAGGCACCATTTTCAGTGCACCCTGACTACTGTGTGAATGAGGAGAGCCCCTTGTCATCCCCTTCTGTACATTTGGCTCAAAATGCAGAGCCTGTTCACATTGCAGCTGACCTTCTCCAAAGAGGAATGTTGTGGCTGAGGAGAGAGATGGTGGGCTCTCCGGTGGCAGCCACCACTGGAGAAAGCAGAGCTTGAGATGGAAGCAATAATGAGATACCACTGCACACCTACCAGGATGGCTGAAATCGAAAACACTGACACCACCACATGCTGGCAAGAGGTGGAGCAACAGGAGCTCACATTCATTGCTGATGGGAATGCAAAATGGTGCAGCCACTTTTAAGACAGTTTGGGAGTTTCTCACAAAGCTCAACACACTCTTTACTATCCAGCAATGTGTGGTATTTACCCAAGTGAATTGAAAACCTATGTCCACACAAAAGCCTGCACAAGGATGTTTATGGCAGCTTCATTCATAATCACTAGAACTTGGAAGCAACCAAGATGTCCAGGTGAATAGACAGACCATGGTTCCTCCAGATGATGGAGTATTATTTACCATGAACAAGAACCGACCTATCAAGCCACAAAAAGACAAGAAGGAAACATAAAGTTATACTGTTAAATGAAAGAAGCCAGTCTGAAAAGGATACACACTGTATGGTTCCAACTATGACATTCTAGGGAAGGCAAAACCATGGGGACAGTACACAGAGGAGGAAGGGATGAATGGGCGGAGCATGGAGGATCTTTAGGGCAGTGAAGATAAGATACTCTGTTTGAGACTATGCACGTGGGTCATTATACATTTGTCTGAACCCATAGGATATGCAACACACAGAGTGCCTTCTAGCATAAACTATGGACTTCGGGTGATGGGGATGTGTCATGTTGTCTCATCAATTGTAACAAAAGTCCCTCTCTGGTGTGGGAGGTTGATGGCTGGGGAGGCTGTGTGTGTGTGTGTGTGTGTGTGTGTGTGTGTGTGTGTGTGTGTGTAGCAGGGGAAGAGGCATGTGGGAGCTCTTTAGTTTCTGCTCAACTTTGCTGTGAATCTAAAATTGGTCTAAAAAATACAGTCCATTCATTAAAAAAATACTAGTGAGCAGATGAAGGTCTTGCATTGGTTACTGTGAAAACTTTGACGGGGGAAAAGTAAATCTCAAATTCTAAAGCAACCCTGGAGGCCTCCCCTCCTTCTTCTGGTGACCCCAAGCCTCTTCTGGCTGCCCCTGGCTCCTGGGTCTCCCCCAACCTGTAAGGGGCTCTGCATGGTAATGGGGCTGCACCTGGTCCCCAGGGTGTCTGCTACTGGACCCTTCAGCATTTCACTTAGGATGCCAGAAAAATTATCCCCTTCCTCAACTAGTCATTTATTATGCTTGTGCACAGTGTTTGCAATAGACAGGAAATCTTCTAACCAGGAAATATGAAGCAGGGAGAGGCTGCATTTAGAATGAACCAGAAGCTTACTAATAGGTTTTAAGTCGTTATGAAGAAATGTCAGCAGACATAAGAAGACATCTCTAGTTCAGGCACGGTGAATAACAGATACCTGAAGACAAGAAAGTTGTAAAGGAGACACTAATTGAGTGAGGGTTAAAGTTACACATCCTGAAATCCAACAGACCTGAGTTCAAATCCCAGCCTGCCACTTCCCCACATGCTGCCTTGGACCCTTTACCTCCATGAAAGCTCCATTTCCTCGCCTGTAAAATGGAGGTGATCAGCGAACTTGTCTTGTGGAGTGATCCTGGGGGACTAAAGAGGACTTGCTGGGGGAGTGTTGGCTCTGAGCCCTTATCAGTGCCTTGGAAGTGCCTGATGATGCCTGGCAAAGCCAGGACCCCACGGACTCTGGAGAGCATCTCCCAGGAGAGAGGAGAGAGGTCCAGAAGTTCTGGGCATTGGGCCAGGTCCCTCAGGCATTAGCTTCTCTTAGAGGACACAAATTCATGTGAAACTAACTGGAGGCAGACCAGAAAGGAGCTGAGGTCATTAAAAACAGACTCAGAGAAGAATTTATCTGGTTTGGCAGGTAAAACAGAAAATGTATGAAAAAAATATTCTCATGTGTTGAGTTGGTCCCAAGACAAAGTTGAACTCATGGGAATTAGCTGCATGGTTTATACCTCAGTTCCAAGGGCTAAGTCACTTTCTCCTTAAGAAGGATGTAATGGTTTGGATGACTCACCAGACAGAGCTGGGTGAGGACAAAGCCAAAGTCAGAGAAGTTTCTAGATCACTGAGGTGAAAGCGCCTGGTGGTGACAGCCTGGGTGCTGCCTGGGTTCACATTCAGAGCTGAGAACTTAAGAGTTTTATGGTATCTGCCTCTGGGTTTACCAATAGGAATGGAAGAAAGACAGCCTCTGTGGAAGGGTCAGACATCCCCCCGTCATCTCTGAGTGGTGGCTGAGCCATTGCATTCCTCGCTCCTGGGAAACTGGGCCTGGGACCCTCATCAGCTCTGTGGCATCCCCTTGCCCCTGCCCTGCATCCCAGCCAGAGCCTGGGGGCTTGGCTCAGGAGTCCTGTGTGCTCACCATCCCCCTGTGACTCTCCCCTCCCTCAATCTTCATCCCCATCTCCCTTCGGGCTCAT